GGAGCTCGAATTCGTCCTGACTTTCTTAAAGATGCAGAAAATCGTGTTTTTTGGAAAGCACTTGGAATGTCTCAAGTTGGAGTTTCAGAAAAGCGAAAGGACAAATTTTCCAGTCTTGCACAGAATTGTTGTCCAATTAAACATCTGTTTGAAGTGGCTAGCATTTCGACTCTTTGGAAGCTGTGGAATCCACAGTGCCATTGTTGGATTGTTGTCAGAACTGGGCCACCAAAGCTGAGCAGGAGTACCTTCCCAGCCCAACAAAAAGCCAATCAAAGATCCAGCAGGACGGATTGTGAATAGTTGTCGTAGAATTGAATTTAAGTTTCTTGGTTTTCTTTGGCATTTTCTGGACATTTTGCTTGTTTCTTTTCGTAACCGTCTCTTTATGTGCGGCGGATCCTGCGGTTATGTTCTGTTGGGAGCCCAGAGGACGAGCACAACCGCTGCTGGGCTGGGCCTTCTGGTGGTCGCAATGCTCCTGTGCAGGCCTGGACTCGCCGGAGCCCAGTTGCAAGCCACGAGTGAACATTTGACCGATGCGTGGTAAGCAGTCTTTGTTGAGGTTTCAGTGCCCCTACAAGGGATCACAGCCTGCTCAAGACAGGCGCTACAGAAAACGCAGGGAATGGCATGGTGTCTTGTCTTGGCATTAGAGTTAGGAGCATGGCGGAAAAAGCTTCACGTTTGGCAAAGGTCTGGGACTGTCGGACCAGATCACCTGCATATCAGCCCATCATCATCCTCGTGTAAAATCTTAGGAAACCTGGGAGCAGATGCTGCTGGATCCTTTTGCTTGCTGCCTGTCACAACTGATGGCAACTCATATTTTGATGTCCACTTTTTGCCTTGACGCACGGGCCGAAATGGAGCTGCGCAGCAAAGCAACAGTGTGGCCCCCTTGCCGCGGTTGGCCATGGTGTGCAAGTGCCAACAGTGATTTTTGAGCTCTCAGGCTCAAGCCTAGCTGCTAGCTGCTAGTAGCTGCAGCTCTTTGTAGGCTTCTTACTGCGTATCAGATAGGTCAATCATGCAGCGCAAAGAAAAAAGAGGAGTCTTGGCTTTGTTCATGCTTTCCCGTCTGGCGCTGAAATGCACCGGCCAAGAAGAGTTCATTTGTGAGTTTCTGCATTTGCCATGTATGTCATGAACATATTGGCTGCACAAGTCGACATCATTCTTGGTGCGAGTTGGCTTACCAGATCATTTTTGATGTGATGCGCAAAGGACTGTCCGTGCTGCTGCTGGCCGCAGCCGCCATTGTTATCTGCCGAGTCTTTGCTTGATTCAGTCGTTCTCAAACCTTCTGGGGCAGTTGGTTTAGCTCACAGAGCCTTGCATTGCTAGAACGGCGGAGCAGGATGCTGGCAGCCTACATTTGTGCCGCCTGCAGCAGGCCAGAATCAACTCAGGACTGTTATCGTGTTGAAAGTCCGTGCGGTCTGGCCCGAACGTCAAATTGATGGTTCGCGAGTTTTTCAATCTAGTATTTGCGAAATTACACAAGTGGCTAAAGTCGGGGAAGTCATATAATGGCATTCACCTATCATGATCTGTTGGTATTGCATGCTTTACTTAGTATCAGAATCTGCAAGCTCCCTCCCCATCTGTCAACAGGACCCCGGACGTGCGCTCTCCTGATCTGCCGCAGCGTGTTTCTTAGACAGTGCCCATGGTCGGGGGACCAGGACAGGTGGGCAGAGGCGATGGCTGTCTCGCAAAGCTGCTGGAATATCCCACGGTAAATCACATAGCCATAGCCCTCAAAAACATGCTTCTGCAAAAGGGCCTCCGCCAAGGTCCGCCGTCGCCCTGGCGGGCCTCGCGCCGCTGGTGCTGGCACCGGAAGCCAGTGCGGCCTTCCTTAAAGTTGTGTTGTTCTTTCAAATATTGGCTCGGAATGCAAGAAATTTCGGATGCCGTATGCTGCGTGCTGGATGTTCTTCTGTGAACGAGACGGTAGAGACCAAGGTTCGTTTAAAGGAGATCCGGACTGGACTTTTTTGGACACAAAAGAGCTATGCCACGTGAACACCATCCTAGGTGGCGCAGGGCTGGGAATCCGCGGTCATGCTGCCACTCGAGCTGATAAACACAGGCCGCGGATGGTTGGTTCCGGGTGGACCAGTCAATAGAACAGTACTGATGCAGGCTTGAACCTCTTCAAGACTGCTCTCGGCATCTATGCCCTCATGAGCCGCACGATCGCACTTTGTGCTCGCGTTCTTGGCACACGGAGTTCTCAAGGGTGATGTGCAAGTAGTTACCACCGAAAATGCATGAGATTGTCTTGGCTCTGGCAATCTGATCGGAGGCTGGCTGTATGCTTTCGGCATCATTGACATGCGAAACGTGATGCCCTTAGCTGTATGTGGGAGCTGATTCTGACAGACGTTGTTCTACTAGACGTGCAGGTCGCAGACGCACGAGAATGAATGATCAGTTGCAGCATGGACTGTTGCTTAGGACATCGTCATGAAGGTGCAGGGAGCACTTTCCTCCGTCATTGACCCTGTGCTGAACCCGCTTCGGAGTGTCATCCCTCCGTGGCTCAGATGGACTGGTATTGTAGAGTGTCCATCACTCTGCTTATTTCCTAAGTATCGCCTGCGACCATCCCAGGCTAGGTGGCTTCGATATTTCTTTTATGATCTTGTGGCCATGTCCTCAGCTCGAGAGTTTAGGTGTTGGAAAATGTCGGGAAGGATCTTATAGAGGACACCGCTTGCTTGCGGGAACCAGGGTGTCGTGACAAGAATCGCCGGTTCTTCTGAGGTTCGTGATCGAGCAGGCACAGGCGGCAGCGGTAACCATCATGTTCGGAAACGAAGCAGCACTTCAGCAGTTCAAGGGCCCACCCTCTCCGGCAGCCGCCCCATCCGAACCCATCAAGGAGCCGCCAGCTACGGCAACTACTATTACTGAGCTGAACAAGCCGTGCCTGGTGTAATCGAGTGGCACGTCCGCAATGTTCGAGGAAGGGTGGCTGATTCGGCAACACGGCTTTCAAAAAGCATCCAGAGTCTGAGCTACGAAGTGTCGTGTGCCCTACCCAGGTGCAGACTCCTGGCGTGATGGCCGGCTCGAGTGACTACAGTAGACAGCAGGGCCACTTGAGTTGCCCTCTTTGTGTGTAGGCAGATTCTTGCGAGTGCTACTCAAGCATGCCAGCCATAGCAATGGAAGAAAAAGAGCAAAAATAAGACGGCTTGAAACAGCAAGTTGGCTCTGCATTGTTTGCAGGTTCCCAAGTACTCCGCTTGGCCAGGTCAGCTGGCCAAGTTGTTCAGAAGGTACCAAGATGCGTACCCAACCAACTCTTTTAAGTGGCTTTTTCCGTTCAAAGTCCGTACAGATGCAGAATTCGAGGACGAACAGACGCATGGAAGCTTTTCGGCATGTGCCCCTGAATGATATTGCAGCAAACATCTCGGTTAATGCAGCGCTGCGGCACTGCCCTCAAGTTCTTGATACCGTTTTCTTGGTGCTTCTTGATATTGTGAAGCAGTATGTCATGCAGGGACGGGGAAGCCACCTCATGTTCAAACCTCACATGCGGCACTGGCTGCCGTTTCTGTCTCACAGAGGCTGCAGGCCTCAGGCCAGGTCCGAAGATCCTGTACTGAGCCCAGCATCGCAGACATCACCTGAGCGTGCACTAACCATCCTTCCGGGCAGACAGATCCGACTCTTCATTTCCACCCAATAAGCCTTCGGTGGGACTGATCGATTGAAAGCCTTAGCACCGGTCTTTTGTGCAGCGATGGTGTTGCTGGAGGCCCGGAGCATTCGCCTTGCCCCAAACCCCGTCGATGACTCGTGCCCGTTCAGACAGGCTCATGTCAAATCTAGCTAGCCGCTAGCCTGCTTGGCAGATCTTGGCAGGCCTTCGGCCTGGCTTCTGGAGAGATCTTTCAGTACAATCGACGCCTGGTTACAGGTTTCGTGTGTGCCATCTGGAGTTTTCCCTTTGGTGAAATCGGCTTGCTGTGCCCTCAGCTCGATGCCTCTCAGGAGAGAACTTCCAGTTCGACAACGAGCAGCGGATCAGCAAAGATGCGCTTGGATGGCATCAACTTGCTGCTAGTGTTTTGGAACATCTTGTGAGGGTTCTGTACGCTTGGTCCTTTGGTGACATCGAACTTCAGGAAAATCAGCCAAGGGCTATTGTCAGGAAAACTAGTTGCAACAGGACAGCAAATCCCAGATTTGCAGCGTGTTTCTTTCATTGCAAGCAACGAGTTCGCAGTTTGACATGGAGGTGCGAAGGAACACCAGGCTTTTTACCAATTTGTATTCCATTCCTCAATTGCCTTCTTCACCAAGCTGTGGCCCAAGCTCCCTATCAGCAAAGCAGCAACAGCATTCGTTGCCTCAGCGTCAGGTGCAGCGCTACAAGATGCAGGTGGAGCGCTTCGAGCTGCCACTCGGTCATTTTGGGAACGACTTGTGGACAGTCTCAGCAAGAAAAAGTGCCAGCAAAAGCCGGAGCTCGATTTTTTTTGCAGTCTTTGAGGTTCAGAGAAGACATTGAGGATCTTGTGAAGCTTACCGTGGACAAGATGGATGCTGGGTACTGCAAAGCCTCAAGTCACGCTTGCTTCATGCTTCTACAGATGCTGCGATAGAATTCCGCCCAGAGCCCGCGATTTTCCGCGACTCTGTTGCTGTGTTACGGGGTTCTGGGGTGAGGCCGAAGTACCCCTTTGTCCGAAAACTCGTTTGAGTGTGACGGCCTGACGCGCATCCTAGCAGTCCTAGCATTGGGTCCGTTGGCAATTGGGTCTTCAAGGTTGGGAGTGAGGACCTCGCACTGGAGCCTTGCAAGTTCTTTCTGCTTTCGGGCGTGTCTTTAGAAGATCTGATAGATGGATTCTTTTCGCAGATGATCTCACAAGCATCACTTGTCACGTCTGGCTTCAAAGTCACTTCCAGCGCCACTTGCGTTTCCTATGAATGCTCCTGCTCTGGATTCTAGGCTCCCCCGCTGCCAACTCTCTGTGTGCTTCATTCCTGTGAGAATCTTCTGCTCTGTGTGGCTATGTGTGCAACCGGCAACAAGGACATGTACCACTTGGTTTCGGCCGTTGTCCTCGGCTTCACGACCAGTGTATTCACCGAGGAGACGTGTTGGTGCGGGTAGGGTTTTGGGCTGTGTGGGTTATTGTGTGAATTTTCGTTTGAACCATGCGAGTGCCGAGCTTCTGGGCGCTCTGCTTCAGAGTATGTCAGAATCAAAGCATGGAGACGGATAGAAGTTCATTGAAGTTTATCGTCAGGGTTGCTTGTGCTATCTTGTGCTACTACAGAGAGGTTTCTGCAAATCCGCACAAGACTTTCGTTTGACTGCATTCCTTTACAAACAGCTTTAATCATTGATGCAGCCTGTTGCGACTTCATCTTCCTTGTTCATGCTCAGTTTGCTTAATGTTTTAATTGTTCATCCAGTACAATGTGCCGAACACCTGAAGCCTGCACAGCAGCACTCCCGGAACAGAAGCGCCAGGGCCGAATCATGGGTAAGACACCGCCGAGCTACATCGCCGTCTACTTTATGGCTGTGGGCAGGGCTCTCGGCCTGTCGTGTTCGGGTGGCTGGGAGGCTGCTCTCCTTGAGAACTGGGAACTTACTTGCAAGTATTTGTGCCAGCCAGTCACTGCAAAGGAACCGAAGAGATTACCCTGCGTTCTTCCAAGGTTCCGGCTGGCTCTATCTCCTGATGACGGTGTGGCTGAGCATGTGCGCCATCTATTCGTGCGTCGCTTCGCAGTTGGGGCTGGACTCCACATTCTCAATGCAATGAGAACCCAGGCAAGAAATTGCTTCAGAAGGTCCAGAAGCCTCGATGACGTCCTGAGTTGGAGGTACGCCTCGATCAGTTCTCACAGCCTTGGTGTTCGGCTCCGCACGAGATACGTGCGGCTGCCAATCCCGAGCCTGCGGCAGCCCCTTGGCTCAGCAGCTGCGGTCTCTCTGCGCCTGCCCTCGAAGAAAAGAATGGGTTTGTCTAGGCTTCGGGGCAATTCCTGGCGGCCGTGTGATTTCGGGGGCGACTGAGCTTCTCAGCTTGCAAGGGCTGTGAAACCGAGGCTCTACGGCATCTCTTCCTCTCTGCAAGACTTCGAGCAGCAAGGCTTCCAGAAGGCTCTTTCAATGCCCTTCCGTGCGCTTTGCTCCCAGCTCTGTTTTTCTGGACCTTGCTCCTAGCACTCAGTAGCTGTTGCTCTTGGGAGTCTGCAACCATCTTGCACTGGCAGATGTTCCGGCTACCCTTTGGACCACAAGGCACCCCGCAGTGGGATCGAAATAATCGTCGGGGCCTGAGCTGTGTCTGTGGATGCGATACGAAACCATGGACAACCTTTACCTGAGTCTCTACAATGGGATTGACTTGAACTCAATGCCAGAGGTTCTGTCGCCACAAAGATTGTCGGAATTTCAAGCTCTCCATGCTTTATCATCCTCCGTCTTGCCCATTGGCCGTAGCAACCACAAGGTTTGTGTGCTCCGTGCCTGTGAGGACCCCCCGGTGTCGCTCCAGGGCCGTCGCAGGCTACATCGTCCCAGGCTGCACCTGGGCAAGCACCGCAAACCCCATTGCGGGTGCCCTTCGCCGTGCCTTTCGCTCCACCTGCGGAGGGTCAGAACCCTGGCCTTGTTTGGCGCGTTGCCAAAGCGGCCTGCCGCCTTGCAAGCGAGGTCCTTCCGGCGACAGAGCGCTGCGCCGCGGGGGCTCCATGTCCTCCACGGGCTCAGAGGCCGGGACATGTAAGGAGATGTGGGTGGTAATTGCAGCTGCATCAAAAACTTTTTGAGGCTCAGTGCACTGTCCAAGTGCAGTGGTGTTCATGCGATAATTAAGTATCTGACATGAGCCCCGCTCTGGGTGGATGCATCGCAGGTGCGGGACCTGAAACCCAAGATTCATGCAGAGCGTTTGAAATGCCGAAATGAAGCATCGTTGACGGAGGAGCAGCTGGCTCTAGATGCCAGCGTGGTGACTACGCAACATATCAAGTGGGCAGAGGCTGCAGAGACGACAACGGCAGAAGCAGGTGCACGTGAAAGCATCTGCAATGCCACCGATTACGCCGCCGCAGCAGCATACCATGTTGAGTACGCCTACATTGTCCTTGCAGCAAACACCTCCTAAACGCTAAAAAGCCAAGCGGTGCATTCTCTACCGCGGTGTTCAGGAGCTCCTACCAACAGCAGATTGTGGAGTGCTGCGGCCCGTTTCCGCACCGTTTAACAACCAGGTGTACCTGCTTTGACGATGCAGGAAGCTTCTACGAGCGGAGGCCACCGAGCGATGGGCTCAAGCTGCTGAGCACCGGACAAACCTAGCAGAGCTCGTGCAAGTCGCTATTCGCAGCTCATGCGAACCAGCAAGTGTCCGAATCAGCTCCACCGCGTGAAGCTGGGAACAAATTTTCCGGACTCCACCGTGTGAGGCTGAGCATGGACCATCCCGGCTCTGGCAGAAGAGCCAGGTTCTGGATATTCGCAAATGCGAGAACTCGAGCAACCCCAACCAGTGAAAGACCACACCTGAAGCATGCCATGAGGACCAGGAAGCCGCTGGTTGGCTATGCTTGGAACACCACAGGTCGCAACTGGTTGCCATGTGTGTGCTCTATACTGCCAGGAGCACAGTCATCACCCTCCGGGCCGGTGGTTCACCATGCTTGAAAAAACTCAGGTCACAACTAGTTGCCGCTTTTGTTTGCCCGGCATTTAAACGCTCTGCTCCAAACGGTGCTGGGACCAAGGTGCAGGTCCCGGTCCTATCCCCGAGGGGCGCCCACCTCGAATCCATGCTTCAGGTGAAGACGGGCAGAAGTGCCAATGCTAGCGGGCAGTGGCATTCCCTAACCCCGTGAAATCACTGGTGGATGCTAGACGAGTGATTTGCAAGGCATGCCGTTGTCGCTGCCTTCGTGAATCGGAATGCAGCGACGTACCATAGGCTACGTGTCGTGTAATCGATCCTTTGCATGTCGATACGGTTCTGATGAAAACTCACGTGTATCACAGTGAGAGTGATCAGGTGATGCGAGCCATACATGGCGCATAGAACGATGGGCAGAAAACTTGCAGCACAGATTCTCCGAGAAAGCTGGCGATATGCTGGGTCCGAGGGGATTCGGACGCTGATGCGTTGCTCCTGTTCAATCCGAAACAGGACCTCAAGCCTGTGTTTCGCGAAGCGTTTCGAATGACAACAAAGGGCCTCTCATGGCGGCCTGGCTTTCCATTGCTAAAGGCCGGCCGGACCACTTCCCCACCTATATCTTCAACGTGATGCGGCCGAACAAGGAAACACATGAGTCCCTGATGTGTAAGATATCGTCGAGGAGACTCGAGGAGAGCTGCTGGATCTTTACACCTCACAGGTGCTGAGAAAAGCGTGCTAAGAAGAAGGTTGCTGCCAAGAAGCTACCGGCTGCATAGTAGCACGTGGCGCGCAGTCATGCTGTTTTCTTGTCCCGCGTGTGACGATTTCGAGTAGGTGTGCAGATACCTTTCTTTCAGAAAGAAGCGTGCAGAGCATCAACTATTTTTCGTGTACAGCCTGTTTTGGCATAACCTTACCCGACGGCATCGAAAGTTGCAGCTGCATGTGTAATCTCGGATCCAATGACTTAGCATGTGCAAACATACTTTATGCTTTGTCATCTTTGTCCTCGTTGCTGCCAGCAGGCGATCCTGCGGATGTTTTCAGGTAGTCAGCGTTGCATGTCTGCGATCTTGGTGTTTGTCTGCGATCGCCAGGACCTCTTAGGCCTTGGCGAAGCTGGCTTTGGCCGTGAGCAGGTGAGCGGAGTTGTTTTTGATTCACGTTGCTTTCCGGGCTGCTCTTTTCCGTGTGACGAGGTGCTTGAACGCGCTGTGTGTCGGACTCGGACTAATCGGTTTTGCCCGAAACCTGAAGTTTGAGACCTGCGATCAGTGACCACGGTAGACAGTTTGCTTGAGCAGCTCAGGGAGACGTCAGCCCCGGCACAGCACGTGCAGATGTTCCGAAAGCTTCAGTCCATGCCGGGAACCTCACACTCACAGCTTTCGCATGCAGGATGACCGTTTCGCAAGTGCAAAACATGCCGACACGAGACCAAGCCTTCGGGGTGTAAATCTCTCCAAGCTTCTGCTTGCGAGGTGGCAGTGCTTCGATGCATACGCACGTGTCAGTTGCTTGACTGCACCGTTGCTGGTGCATTGGTCCTGAGTCCGCTTCAGGGCTCTGCCGCACTTCAGCATACCGATGGATTCACGAGCGGCGATTTGCTGAGGCATGAGCCTGGGCGTGCACCAAATCGTCCAGGACGGGTGGATGAAAGCTATGGTAGTTTTGACAGGTGTCGTATGTAGATTGCAGGCTTTCGAAGCTGCAAGCAGGTGGTGGTTTCGGAGTGGGGATGTGGTCATGCGGGCAGGCGATCAATCTTTTCGTCTTGGGCCTGACATTGGTTGAGACGCATTGTCCCTCGGTGGCCATCGCGATCACCCTCGCGTTGCAGGCGGCTGCTTGGCGGCAATGAGACGCCCTCGGATCTGAGTCGAGAGGCTGTCCCGACCCGAGGTTGCTTTCTCCTTGACCTTCATGGACGTCGCCGGCCTTCACCGGTGGCAGTGGGTCGGGATCCCAGGCGAGCGACGGTGAGGCGATGAAAGCCCTCAGAGTTCTGCCGGGCAGACTTGGCTTCAGAGCAGAGATTCCCAAGTTGTGTAGTCGGCTGCAGGGAGTGCGTGCTTCCAGTGTGCTATGTTGACTTGACTAGCTCGGATCCTTGTGAAAAGAGATGACCGTGTTATGGCGGATTTCCTGCGGCTTCATGTGCCAAAAGAGGCTGATGGAGCACATTGTTTGTTCTGAAGCGAACGTTTCTCGCAAGGGAGCGTCTGTTTGCAGAGCTTGTTTGCTTCGTGTCGCTCCGCGCCAGAAGTCATGTGTGGAGGGTAAACTCTCGGCTTTGGAGGCAGTTGCCTGAGAGCGCACGAGATAGCACGAGTGAGCCTGCGCCACCGAGGCCGGAATGCTGGTGATTTCAAGCGGGCCTGGAACTTCGCTGAAGCTCTTTTTTGACAAAACAGACCGCTCGAAGAGTTCTTATTGGCGACCGGGACCGAGGTGTGCAGTCACAACGGTCTTCTCCTTGATGTTCGCGAAGCTGACGGCCAGCCGGGCAGATTTCGGGCTTTGCACCAGCGCAGCAATGAGCACATGTTGGCATTGACCCGCGCCGCTTGGAGACGACATGTCGCTGAGTTGCTCTGCTATTGAAAAAAACAGCTCTGCGATTCTTGCAAATCCTGAAGGCTGAGAACATGCCCGACATCACGAAGCCGTTCCCCCTCGCTCCGATTGGCTATTTATTTCAGGCTTCTCTGCTGTGAGGAGATCCCGAATATCATTCGAAGAGCCAGTAATTTGGGCATGCGTCTAGCCCAGAAGGAGCAGGCCCTCCTCCACTTGCACAGGGATGAGGGCAGAAAAGCCGGTAGCCAAAGCCCAAGAAAGTCCTTGTGGGAAGGTGGTCTATTTCCAGCTGATCTTGGAACTCGCCACAGACACAGACCAAAAAGCGCGCTGTGTCGATTCATGCTCGTTGTTTCCGTAGTCTTTTGAGTTCGGCTTCTGGAGTCCCAAAAGTGTGTGGAGGATGAGACGGACAGACTTCATTCTCAAGTTCATCTTACCAAACATCGTACGCCCATGCTCTCCTTCCTTCCGAGCATCCTACAGGGAAAGTACATTGTAAGAACAGCTTCTGTCATCTCGAGAATTCGGCTGAGGCCAGGCCGACGGACGAGATCATGTCCTTGCCCAGGAGCGCTTGCTTCAATGTCAGCCGTCATGCATCTTTGCCGTTCCGCAAGCAAGTCTCACATCTCAGCGGGGCCCGAGGGCAGGGTCTGAAGGCCCTGCAGAGTCAACGCTCAGACAACAGACAACAGAGACTTCCTCAGTCTTCCTCCCCAGAGTCACGGAACTCTGACATGCACCTCAGTTTTGCGCCTCTGCCAGGAGATTTCGGGCAGTCTTGTTCACGGACGTCTTCGGTGACTCGAGCTACGAGCTCCGAAAGCAGTTGAAAGGGGCTTGCTGCCATCATACAATGCGGTTGCTACCAATATATAGCAGATTCGCAGTGTTGGTGTCATGCCTAAGTCTAAGTCGTAAGGATCCGACGGATGCGGAGCATGCTCTGCCTCCAGAACCCGGGAGGCCACAGAAGGGACAGGGGGGAAGAGACTTCCTCATGAAACTCTTGCACGGCTGGTGTTGGTGACATCAACACATGGTAAGAAGAACCACATCGCACAAGCCAGAGCACCGCAGTCGCTCCTGTGTTCTTGTTCGCAAGTGTGTAGGTGCATGTAACATACTTCCGTTTGATGACTTTCGTCTTGGCCTTGAGGGTTCCTGATCCGAAGGCCGGGGCAGATGCAGCGCATGGCCCAGGACCTCCATCATCTGTGCCTGTGCTTGCCTCACGATGCCACGACCTTCGGACAACCTCAAAGCGCCCACCCGAAGACACATCAGAATTTGTGAGCTTGCAGAGTGGTGTGCATTGGACTCGAGTTTGGATCCTCCAGCTGTGCGCCCTGTGTGCCCTCAAGAGCGAAGCCGGAACGAGTATCCTAGAACCACATGCACTCGTGAGTCGTGCCGTCCACGACCGCAACGTGAGGGCGCAACTGTCAGAGTGCACAAGCCCCGAACCAATTAAGCATTGTTTTTACTGGAGACCGCCGTGGAGGCTCTCAGAGTCACCACTCACAGCACCCGCAAGTTGACAGGACAAGGCGCTGGCCACGTGTGATAACCTCTCGGCAATGGCGCAGATGGCTCTTCGTCGTTGGGAGGCCAGACTTTCCTGCGGAAGAGGCTGCCAGTGGTGGCATCCTGATGCCACACCTGAGGCTGTGAGAATATTGTTGACTGCTCCCGCATTTGCAATCGGATCGACAAGCATGAGGGGCCTCATGCTATCGAGAGTATTGGTCCCAGGCGCTTCCACAGCCACACTTGAGTGACGAGGTGGGGACTCGTTGCCACGAAGTCTTCAGTAAGGTGTTTGCACGAAGTCTGGAATTTCAGTTATGAGGACTGGCAATTGCGGTATGAGGCGGATAAAGTATGGGATTCGGGCATATAATGTGCAGGCGAAGGTCATGGAGGCACGTGTCCTGCGTGCTGCACGCCCTTTGCGCCGCTGTAGGACCAGGCCGTCCTCGAGCAGAAAAGGAAGGAGTACACGCTGTCACGAAAGGCGCGTTGATTGCCGCCTCACTTCAAAGGATGCTCTTTGTTTGGGTCCTACATGATAGGGAAACTCGATGCTTCGTTGCTGTCAGTGCAGACTGATTCAGTGCGGGGAGTCAGTGATCGAACTGCAAGATCTTCGCCAGTGCCTTGGTTTCGTCGCCCTGCTGACTTGCCAGTTGCTTGTATAGCCGCTCCCTAGATGGACTCTGCAAGGACCCCTTATCTCGGGACTGTTTCCACGCTAGCTACAGTGGGACGGGGTCAAGCATGAAGATGTTTTCACAGGCATGAACCGCAAGTAGTAGCGTGTCATGATGTCTCCGCCTCCGCCATCCATGTGGTGGCTCTCGGACGAGAAGTCACAGCATTGGATGCTTGCGGTGGAGTGGTCTGAGCATCTGCAGCATGAACAGCGGGCGGAAATGCACGTGCCTCGACATGTCTCAGAAGTTTCTGCATCTAGTCACAGTCAGCGAATTCGACGTAATCGCAGATAAATCCAAGGGAGAGTCCTCCACGTTGCCGTGGCCAAGGGAGGTCGCTGGCCCTCTCCGCCGGCTGTTCCGACTGCAGCTTCAACAGAATGCCGGCTGGAAGATCGACGCCAGACAAGTCACTGCATTCGGAATAGGAAAGGACAAGCGCAGCAAGGCACAAGCAGTTCACGTGGCGATGGAGCTGTTGCTCGGGTTTTGTCGTGTGCGGCCTACAAGCTCGCTGGCGTTCATGCCTGTTGCTTGGCAGGCGCGACAAGTCACAGTAGACTCCGCAGACCATCAGCAGATTGATCGGAATCCTCGGGGCTTCCAGCGATCGTTTGAAGATTTTGCTGTTGTTCTACACGAGCCCGAAAAGGTGGCCGGCTGGTTCTTTGCAGAGATACAAGATGCGAAAAGACATTACGAGCATCTGATGTATCGAGGATATGCAACTGCCCTCTTGGATTTCAGTGGTAAAGAAATTGATAAGCATGGAATGTACGTTGGAAAGCGGAGGAAGGAATGCTTGACACGGTGGCGGTCGCATTCACGGAACGTTGCGGACGAATCTTTGAAGATGCAGGTTGGGTGCGATATTCAGGATGAATCTAAAGGGACGGCACAAGGGACCCGTGTTGAGCATCACGCTGATGCCCAGCGGATCCAAATCGAGGACCTGTCCCGTTCACTCACTTGGCATACTTTCGTGATCATGGTTTTATAAAGGTCCTGATGTGTGAGGCGTCTATCTGGGGGGGGCAGGGGGCAGGTTTTGAGAGTGCTGTGACACCTGACACCCAGGCTTCATAAATGTGTTCGATGCGATCGAGATCATGTTCCAGTCGCCGACCTACGCTACACGCAACTCACATGTAGCTCCAACTTGCGATGCCCTGGTCATGGGAGGCCGAGGTGCGATAGGTGTTGGCATACGCCTGTGGATCAGCTCACCAGGTGGATAGTTGATGATGAGCATTACCTTCGCAGAAATGACTGGTGCACTTTGGACGTTATGGTGAGGAAAGGCGTCTATTTCTCAATCGACAATCGTCGGCTTCTGGCTATGAAGCGAACGCAGGAATGGCTAGTCCACAGCGAGTGGTCAACGCGAGCATACGAGCCTACCATTGGCCAGAAGAGCTTGACGTCCGGAACGAGGCGAAAGAATCACTGGCAGCACACGCAAAGTTCGTGGATCATCTTTCACACCGCTTGGGGCCTTACGACGGCAAGCACATCAAAGTCATGCCATGCCGACGCTGAAAGCATCGCATACCCTTGAAGGAGAATCTGCTTCTTTGCATGGAGGCTAAAACGGAGGTTCGGTCTCGGTGCTGCGGCATCTTTAGTGAAGGCTACAAGTGTAACCCAGGGAGTCTTCAGATTTCTACTCGACCGCCAATGGGTGGTGCCGTTTGCAAATTCGAAATTGCATTCGTGGCTGCAGATGCTGCAGGATGATTTCCTCGCTTCTTTAGAAAAGATGCTTTTCCTTGGTCACGCTGGACGACCAGTCTAGCCTAAAGGGTGTCGCCCAAAGGTGCAAACAACTCTGAGGCACATGTGAGACACCAAGACGTAGGGATCGCCGTTGCCATGCAGACCACCACGTCAGGCGCTGATGGCACACCTTGTGGAACTCAAGCGTGAACAGGGAGTTCCCTTCGATCCGGAGGCTTGCGTTTTTTTTGGGGGGGTGGTGGGTGTCGGCTTGTCGTGACCCGAGTCACACACCTGATTCTGCAAGATCAGTTTTCAAGGTACCGGTGGGTCGAAGCATTCAATGGGAAGTGTTGGCAGGACCGCGATCGGCTTGAGTTGAAGTCATGGAGCGAGCTCAATGACGTCGAGAAGGACAGCAGCTCTGCAATCCTGCATGCGACACAGACACAGGCATCTAACAAAACTAATGTAAGATTGCCGAAAGAAAGCGGAAGCATCAGGAGGATTCGTGTTTGAAGCATGAACGCTGATGGGTATTGACCCCCTCCTGAATGCTCGAGGAAGCCTCAATCCCTGCAGGCCGAAGACGTCTTTGCCGGTTATGTCATTGGCCCGATGCAGCTCTCTACTGGCAAGCAGGGCGCTTGGTTCAACAAAGCTGTGCAGTTATTTCAGAGCTCGCAGCTGTCCTCAGCTTTCTTCTGTGCCAAGCCATTTTTCCGTTTCTCGCGACAGGTCGCAGCTCTACTTCTATGACTTGGAAACAGGCGCAAAATGCAGGGGAAGTGACGAGACATGCATGAAGCCCCTCCAGCAGCAACTCCAAGACCACAGACTCGCACGCCAGGCGAGTGCATCTATGACCGCCCAGGGCGTCGACCGCTGCTCACGCTTGATGATGTGTCCGACCATGTCGTGGGCCGAACAGGGGTTCAATTCTGAACATCGGAGCGTCCCAGAAAAAAGGTTGCTCAAGACGTCAGATCATACAGGATTTGAAAGACTATGGCTTCATGCAGTTTTGAGTACAAGGGGCAAGATGTGTGGCATGTTAATGCTTGCTTCGAGCGCCACTGAGTCCGCATAGTGATGAGACCAGGTCAGCAAATTCGCCCGAGCTGTCCGGAGAGTGTTCTCCGATGCACAGCCGGGGCACCAGGTCGCAGTGGGATCTACTCGTAGGTGGGGCAGTGGAAGGAGGATGATGGCGTCCTCCAAATACAGAGGATGCGTTTATGCTGACAGGGGTTCGTTTGCAGGCCCTCTCCTCTTTTCCAGTATCTTCCAGTCAGGAGAGTTTGGTTCACACCAGCTGTCACCACAAGATCGGGACTTGCAGTTGAGACAGGTATTGAAGGCGTTAAAGGGCGGAAAGCGCTTGCCCAGGCAGGCTGCCGAGGGGTCCGAAGACGGCACCGGCCACAGGATCTACTTGGGGTCGGGTTTTGGATAGGTTGTGGAAATGCCTGGACATTCTAACTCACTAGCGGCTGGTCTAAACTTGATAGTTTGTCTTTAAGCCTGAAATACGAACCAAGCGGAGCCTTGGCACATCGAGGCGAGTCTTCCCGGGGCGCGAGTCCAGGCTGCGGGGATCTGTAGCTCCTGACACACAGCAAGCAAAAACCACGCTTTGGCAGCAGGACCTGCAATATGTCGAATCCAAACAGCCAGGCCACAGTGCCGACGGCCTGGAGCCACAGGCCGTTTGACAGGGTTCGAAAGTCGAGAGGGGCTGAGACTGGTCGGGGTTTGTTCACGACATACCCACGGCCGATTTGGTTTCTGCACCGGCGCAGAGTATCGTCAGGGTGGCCGTGGCCGGTCCATTCAAAAGCGGGTGGCAAGGTCGATGCGCGAAGCTCGGCCGTTGCTAGCTTATCTCTTCACGACTGTCATTGTCCGAAGTCGGCCTGGCACGGGCGGACCAGGACGATGCTCATGGGAAAGACCCGCTGCTCGGCCGCTGGAACGCTTCCCACGACTTCCGCCGGTTGTTTCTCCTTTGAGACTTGCAGCATCTTGTATCTTGGAGTATCCTGAAACGCCGAGGACTACCAACACGGGTGGACAACCTGCCGTGGAAGGCGCTCATGCGACTAACACAGGCCGGCGGTTGCTGCAGCTTCTCATCTATTCTTTGTGTCACTGCGGGTGTCGGTCTCAGGTTCTTCAATGCTGTCCTTGGCTTAGTCGGCGAGTCCTTGCAGTATCGGACCGGACACGGGCGCGTTATCATTATAGTTTGATTCGCCTCTGCGATGAATATGTGAGGAACGAATAGGGAAAATGGAAAACGATATCTACTCGCTGACAGCTGCATGCGGTGAGTTGTCATGCTTGAAGAGCCGCGGACACTTTTCTTGTGGTGCTTTCGGTATCGGTGGTTTCTCACTGTTTATGGCATTATATGGCATTATTGTGTGTGTGTGTGTTGCATCTGTTTTAATTACGACTTCTTGTTTGGCTGACCTTCTGAGGATTGAAGAAGCCCATACTTGTCATTTGGAATGTGCCGCGAGATTTTTAAGAACGCTAGCCTTGTGACACGGGTCATCATGTGAATCTTTGAGTTCGCTTTTCTTGGATATGGGCAGGCAACTTTTAAGCCATGCCTGTGCCCAGGTTTCCAAGAAATGAAGCAGATTGCACTTGCACGGCCATTGGCATGGGAGACTCGCAGTCGAAGGTCAAAACTGAGGCAAGCCCTTGAGAGGAGTCCTCATGCAGCCCTTTGGCCCAAATCTCGAGGGAGATCAGCTTGCTGCAGCCATGGAGGGCGGAGACCGGGAACGATTGGGTGCATGCGCGCTGTGCAGCGCTTTCGGAGGAATTGTGGGGATGGTCATGATCATCATTGGAGCCTGGGCACAACTATTTCCAGACCAAGAGCAAGATGGGCTTGCGGTCCTAATCGTTGGCTCCGTGCTCTATCTAATGCATGTCCTGGAAGCTTTGTGCAGGAGCAAGACCTCCAAGTACTTGTCTTGGATTTTCAGCGAAGCTGATTTCCAAGACTATGTGAAAGAGCTGCAAGCTGCAAAACCCCAGATCAATTGGATCATCCAAAACTATCACTATGAGGAGACGAGATCCAAGGACAAAGACGGTAGAGAACGCACTCAAAGAAAGAGGGTGGACACTCACCGCGCTGAAGCTCACTACGACATCAACGGTTTCCTGGATGAGACTCTCTCACCTGCACAGATGATAGCCATGTTCCACTTGATGTATGATGGCGAGTATGAGGATTTGGAAGCGAACAAAAGCCTGCTGCATCAAGGAGACTTTTCTTGCTATGTGCAATGCCGCTGGAATATCATCCCGTCGATGACCAGGAACACCAGCGACTGGTCAACATGCGAGAGACATTTTACCAAACCAATATGTGTGACACACATCAAGACAAGTCATCGCAAGATCTTATAGACTGCACTTACAAGACTCATGTCATGGTGGTTCTGAGAGAAGGCACGGATAACAGCCGCACTAGACCCTGGTGGATGCATTACTGGGTCTTTGTGCTTTGCACCATCTTATTGATGAGTGTGCCGTTCAGGTTGTACTTCTTTTCTCAGTGCACCAGTATCAATTGGGAGGTGCTGAAGCATTTCTCCCACAAGCATCAGGAAGAGTGGACGGAGGAGCCCAAGCAGAGCCGTGCGAATCGCACCGATGTTGCATCAAAGGCATTCCGCAAGGTGAAACGTGAAACACCATCCTGCAATTCTGCAGCGGCCGTTGCCTGGGACGAGAAGACCACGAATCTCGGAGATGTGGGAACACCGGTTGAGGTCCCTGTAGGCGTTCCGAGCTATTGGAAGAACCAGGACCTGGACAAGGATTTCGACGAAAAGGTCAACCTTTCAGCGGCAGAGCGAGAGAAGATGCAGAAGCTGCTGGATGTGACCTTCAAGGCCAAGGCCACCAGAGATCGATCCAGTGAGATGCCAAGCAGATTGCTAGTGAATCAGGTAATTCGCATGGAAGACAGCAAGATGTGGCGCCGCTTCGAAGTGAAAAGAGCACAGCTGGCGGCAAAGGGAAAGGCCAAGCGGATTGAGGAGATGCCCGGCAGCGGTGCTTTCAAAACCTCGGTGTTTCATCAAGCTGATGAAGTCCCTTCAGGTTTCAAGGAGCTGACCGTCGACCTTAATGAGACCCGCTTTTGTTTTGATGTTTTCTTTTGTTGCTTTTGGCAGATTTTTGAACCTTGGGGTTGCATACGAGAACATGCTATGCACAATGATCCGGGCAGCATGTACATGTCCTATCTGCTGATTTCCTCCGTCTGTCGGTCACACATGTTGATTCCGCATGCTGTCTAAAAAAGCCGATGAATACAAGGGATAACGTACTAGCATGTAATGCACGATACCTGCTAGTGGAATATTGGACATATGATATTGGCATCAACTACGATATATCGCATACCGATGTTATCTGAGGGTAGTAAGTATACCGTATGTGATGGACATGAGCCCCTGAGCGTTATAGACTTTCGCAGAGGCCGTGCAACTGTCATGTTTTTGCTTTGATCTGGAGCAACGAAGGAAGCATACCTGTTTCACGGATCTTCTCCAGGAGGTGCTCTCGGCATAGGTGAAAATGGCTTTGACATGAGTCGCGTGGGCTCCAACGTGGGCACAATGTTTGGGGGCGGGGCCTACATGGCAGAGGCTTCCAGCAAAAGCGATGAATATGCAGCGGAAGATCCGAGTGGTCTCTTCGCAGGCAGGTTCGCCTTGCTGCTTTGCCGCACTCTTTGTGGCAGCATGTTCTACATCACAGAGTCCAACATCCCAAGGATCGAAGATGCTCTGCAAACTGGGAGATATCAAGCTGTTCTTGGCGATCGGGAAGCAGCAGTTGATACCTACAGAGAGTTTGTGGTTTTTGATGAAGCGCAGATCTATCCTGAGTATGTAATCATCTACAGCCGCAGCTTCGACTAGCCGGCGAAGCGATGCAAGTTTAAACGTGTTTCACCGCTTCAAGCCCCAAATTTTCTGCGCTGCCGGCTGGCTTTATTTATCCCGCGTGTCCTAAAGGACAAGGGTTTCCCACCCCGTGAGGCAGTGAAGCGCATAGATGCTAGCGCTGCCGGTACGGAAGCAGCCTGCAGATTCTTGTCGCAATCTTGCGAAATCTACCTGGCGGAACGTTGAGTCTTTGGAAAGTCGCCCTAGTGGGACGTCGAGTCTTTAGAGTCACTTGCTAAGCAGATTCGAGGGTGATTGAGTGAAATTGCTTAAAGCCGTGGTACTCTCTTGCAACTCTTAGGCTGGATCTTCCTGGCCGTTGCAGAAGCCTGTTGCAACTGGTTCCCCGACACGTTCGGGGCAGCCATGTGCTCAGAGGGCGGTTTGCTGAACGAGAGGTCACGGATCGATACGGATCGCAGGAGCGACTGTAGCAATGACGGCTTTTGGTCTTCATAGTCGCATGCCTCTTCGTGTGCCCTGAACATACTCGTCACTTTGCCGCCAAGGACCTGTTCCGCGTCAGTTGGTCAGGGGATTCTGGCGAAATCAAGGGGGACTGGCATGGAGGCCGCAGAGCAGCGCCCTGATAACTTTCAGATGCGGGAGCCAACCCGTCACAGCGCTCACTAATCTTGCCACTTGTCACTTGCAGCGACTAACGCGAGGCTTCCTAGGCCGTTCGACGTCTCGACATCTGATCTGTTTTTGCGCTTCCGGGCAGACCCCGAAGAGAAGTACTTGCACGAGTACGAGGAGCATCTGCAACACGAAGAGCATGCAGGCGGGAGCGGCTTTGCTCCAAGCGATTGCTGCGACCCTCGCATAGCGAGCGACTCGCTTCGCTTCTTTGCTGGAGACACCTGTCGGTGTTCAGGGGTGAAAAGAAATTCAGGCGCTTGCACACACGATAAACAAATTGCATGGTGGCGGCAGAGCACAGCACGGGCGAAATCAGGTAGAACGAGGCAAAAGGTCAGTGTTCGTGGCGTGGTGGTGCTGGCTGGCGGCCTCGTGGAGCAACAGCAAATGGCAGCTAGCCCGTGAGCCCTCCCCAAAGCACGTCAGGACGAGCGAGAGACAGAAAGGGAGGTAGCGCGGCAGAGAGTTGTGTAAGGTGGATGCACTCAGATGATCCAACCACTCAGGATTCGCAGATTTCTCAAGTCTTCAAGTTGCGAATAGATTGAAGTTTACTTCATACTCCTAGGACAGTCCAACATAGTGTCACTGCAAGTGCATCAAACACATCAATCGTCATCGACCTTGCATTTATGTTGTCCGGCCCCTGCCGATGGCAGGCGAGCATGAACAGCACGCGCACCATGCAGAGCATGGCGAAGGCCTAGAGCCTAGAATTTGATGGTTTACCTCAGCGGCCTTCTTCGAATCCGCTCCTAGTCGTGCAGCTCGCCGGCAAGAGTCGAACGACGAAAGGGGACGTGTCTGCAAAACCCTGCTAAGCAGGTGAACATCAGACCGCTCCTGCAGAAGGCCGCCCGGGCTCGGCCGCATCGTGTTGCAAGTCCTGGAATGTCGCACTTAAGTCAGGTCTCAGAAGCTTGGGGCATTTTCTTGTCTCGTTTCGCAGGAGAGCATGCGTCACCAGCGTCGCCATACGAAGGAGGCCGCTTCCTTGCCTCTGTTGCCAGCTTGGGGACATTCAAGCTGTGAGTCGAAGGCCATCCGGTGAGCTACGAAGGACAAGTTGCGAGATTTGTGCAGAAGCTAGTTCCAATTGATTCACCGTGTATCGGGTGAAAGATAAATCATTCTGCAAGCCGGAATGTTTCTACCGCAACCGCTCACATGTAAAAACGTGCAAGCACTAAAAATCCTGATAAGAAGAACTGAAAAGCTTCGAAAAGTAGAAAGCGGAAAATCATGAAAGGTAAAACGTTCCTAAAACTGATGCGTGATCTGCCTCATTGAACTGCAGTTGCTACATGCCTTCGTGAAACCCGAGAGTTCTCGGATCGCAGTCACTGCGGAGATTTTGTACACCTCAGTTCTGAACTTCAGACATCTTTAGACCATGACCTGCGAAAAACCACCCGGTTCCTCTCCCGAATGTCCTCGCTGAAAGCCTCAAGACGATGTGGACCAGGAGAGCTCGTGCCGTTGCACGAAGGCGCAGCTTCGGAGCACGAAGGTGCGGGCAAAATGTCAGCCGTCAATCAGGAGTGTCAAATAAAATATACTGGTGGAACGGAATACAGGCAAATCCAGGCTAAAGAGTGCGAGTGGTAACCCCACAGGGAGCCCTTCCGACACCCTGCACCCTTGAAAGCTCGAACAAAGACCCAAAAAGCACCAGAGACGAGCAGAAGCAGGTGCCGGCCACCTGCGCCGGCTCCGCTCAGAGGCACCAGGGCGACCCTGGTGGCAACGTGCAACGGAGGTGTGGAGCCCAAGCTGCACCGGCATCAGCGTAAAGTCTTTCCGTTGCAGGTGAAGGCAACGTGGCCTCACGGCTGCCAAGCTGCAAGCCGAAGCTTTGTTGCGGTTCTCAGCAATCTTTGTCGACATCTCGAGTGTCGGAAGTGCGAGGCATTTTCTTCCGTGCGGTGGCTCTGGCCAGCTTGCCTGAGTCCGGCCTGCTTGCCACTACGGCCTTCACGCTGCCTGGGAGCCCGGAGCGCGGTGTTGCGCTTTCAGCCGTCAAGGGTCAAGGCCTCGGGCGCCTTGGGTTGGAGAATTGCAACGTTGCAAGGTACAGATCTTCCGAGCCACGCCTCGGACGGAGCCTCTCCTGGCAGGCGCGTCAGGCTCCTTTCCGACTCGGGTCGCACCTTTCAAGACGAAAGCAGGCCTTGCCGAGACCGGAGTTCCCAGCTTCGGCAGCCATTTGCGATGCCGGCAGTGACATGGCTACGATTTCCAGTTGGCGTGTGGGTGCTGACAGTGATTCCCATCCTGGCTTCCCTAGCAAGCGGTAATTCACAGCAGTTCCTTAAATCGAGATCCAGGAAATGGGTCGCAAGAAGCGGCTTCCCGTTGCCTGATGATCGGGCCAAGGCGAGACTGTGACGAAGAGCCCCGAAGAAATCCTAGATAGTGAGGAAGCAGCGGGCAAATGTGAGATCTTGCAGCCCACGGTTGCCAGTGCTGAGATTCGGGAGTGCTTTGGCAGATTTTTCCAGGTGGTTCAGAGGGCTCGTAGATGACGCCAGGAGTGCGACTCCAGCCCTCGTCTTCTGGCCTTTCGGCTCCCCGGTACCCTGGCTCAGTGCAGGGCGCCGTTTGTCATATTGTTGCGAGCTAGACTGTCGATGTCATGTAAGCGTAATTTCAACTTCGAAGCTCACCACGAAAGGCATTAGTCGGGTGCATCTGGAACCCGATTCGTATTCCCTCGCCATGCACCTTCGCAACAATGCAAGGAAGCCGCCGTGGAACTTCCTCTTTCGCCAAGGCTTGTTCGGAGACTTCGCAGTTGAATCAATGCATATGATGGTGGAAGAGGAAGAGTGAAACCATGTGAAACTCCTTTTGCTGTAGGCTGCACGCTCTTTGTGGGTCCAACAGACTCCTCGGACAGGTTGCCGCCATGGAAGACTGCAGCAGGCTTCTCACGCGTTGGGCTTCGACCCTGAAAAGCCTTGCATCACATGTTGCCAAACACAGGCGTAATGCACTTCTCCAAAGGGGCATTCAGGGGGCATCAGTCGGGGTGCACCAATGTTTGTACCAGGTGCGGCGCTGCCCTGCGAAAAACTGCAGTTCTTGGCGCATGCGGATGCGCAGCGGTGTTTGCTGTTCCTCGGCATTGTCCAGCATTTGGCCAGAGAGAAGCCGTGGGGGAAGAGTCTTCTAGGCAGAGTGTCGGGTAGTGGTAGCGCTCCCAGGCTGGCAGGTTGGGATGATGCTCGACTGCGAGTCGCTGTGGTGAAACTTCAAGACGGGGGCCTGCTGCCTTCGCCGGACGCGCAGGTGGCCGTGCGCATCTCGGCTACACTGGGTGCACAATGCACAGAGAGACCGCCGTCTCCTGGCTTCATCACCCTGTCACCCCGCACTGGGCCCCGTCAAAATACGCTTCTGACGCCACGGTCAGCCTTGTCTCTGTTGCAGGCTCTGAAGTGCCGCTGGGCAGCGGCTGTGGCAAGGCGCCGGATGCCATGTGGCTTGGCTTGCAGTCCCCGCACCTTTCCGGAGGAACGGCTCCTGCATCTAAGGCACGTGGATGCTACAGGTCGGCTCTGGCTTTCGGAAGGTGGAGCCTTGGCGGCTTGGCACCTGCCCTCAGGCCAGCCTTGCATAGCCTGGGGGCAGTGAAGCTTCAGCTCTGTGCTTGTTGTCGATTATTGCGGTTGTCACCAATCTGCTGATTGACCTTTTGAGATGGTTGCAGCCTGGTTCTACCAGTCTCGGTGGGTGGACAGCAGTAGAAACATCAAACTGATGCAGGCACGGAAGCATGCTACACATCACAGTGCAGTGCCTCTACAATTGTTCGCGAAATGCAACGTGGCAGTTGGCCAGGTGCCTTCCTTGGCCGCTGGACTCCTTCCTGGCGATCGTTCCGGCACAGCTCCTTGTGTCTCTAGGTTGGAAATGCAGCGGAGCATTGTTCTGTGTGATTGGTTGAGGCCGTCCGCCCTCTGCACTTGGGGGGGTCGCCTCCTCGTCGCCGGCGCCGCAGGACACGGAAGATGCGGAAGTCGAAGCGGCGAAGTGCGGGTGCCGCGGGTGGATCGGAATAGAGCTGCCCTCCCCTGGCCGTGACAGGAGCCGGCTTCGGAAGGCCTGCCTTGCTCAGCTTCAGGCCCAACCTGACGGAAAGCCAAAGCGCTCCGAATTCCGAATCGGCTTTAGGCGAGGGCTCTCCAAAAACAAGCCGAGTCCCATGAGCCATGGTGCTGATGCTTGTACTTTTGCCTTTGCCCCATACTATTCACAGCTATTCACAGTATTTGAGCCTCACAGCTGCGTAGCACAAAGGGATTTCAAGCATCAGCTTGTTGATAACGCCAACACCTTGCTGAATCTGAGGCTCAGCTCGGTGCCTGTCCAAAGAACCTCAGACAATCGCAGTAGTGATGCAGTGATGATCAGTGATGCGCAGATGCGAAAGCAAAACAAAGCAGTGCGATCGTGGTTGGAGTTCAGTTCATGGTGATGCAGCTGTCAGACAACCGGCTGGGTCCATGAAGGATTCTGGATGGCTGCCCGACGTCATACTAACTACAATCAACGCCTGAAGTTCTGCAACAATTTTCGTGGCAAGATATGCGATTAGGCTATATAGGGTCGTGTAAATTAGGGCATTGCTGAAAGTCCGCCAATGCTACGCGATGCTACACGGATGGACACAGCCGTCGATGCCAATACAAGTAAAATCTTCCTTGATATAGGACATGATGCCTGTAAACAAGGACCATATGATTTCCGCACATTGTATAACTTGCATGCTGCAGGAGTGGAGACATTGAGTACTGGGATGCCGTTACTATTTGTCAGGCAGTACACCCATGTTACCCTATGTATCACACGAATTGGCAGATACAATGTTGTGCTGGATCCGTGGAGACAGCAATGTCATGGAAGTGAACGCTGCTGTGCATGACGGCTAAACTGGCGATCGCGGGGGAGAGCCCAGTCTCCGGTCCAGATCAGCTCCTCGCTTTGGCCGCGCAGGCCCGAGATGTTTGCAGGTTCCTCAGCCGCTGCCTTCCGCGGGTCTTGCCGCGATTGAGCTCGATGTGCGCGTGCTCATGGAGTGCTTGTTGGGAAGCGTCCTGCAGCTCACGGATTCGCTCAGCGGCCGCGACCACGTAGATGTCGTTAAGGTAAGCAAAAATCGCCTCGCCTTCACGCAATTGCACGTTGACAGCAGCAAAGGCGGGGTGTTGAGCGATGGCGTAGAGAGTGGACAGGAGCGGTGTCCTTGCTCGCCTCCCTCGGACTGCCAAACCTCGTGGGAGTCGCCCTGAGCGTCCTGCCATACGTATGTGCTGTCGGAGGCATAGAACTGGCGCACGTATGGCCTCTGCTTACCGGTGGACAGCACCGTCGCATGTGAATCCACCTCAGTGGCAACGCGGAGGCTATGGACCAAGCGGCGCAGCACGGGCTAGCGGAGGGCGACTATGACTATACGGCCAGCTCGGATGGCAGGGACTTTTTTTAACCGGCGCTGGCACATCTGCAACTTGCAAACCGCTCGGCAGCACCGCAAGAGTGTGCAGTCAGCTTCATCGTCGAGCAATATGCGCAAATGCTCATTGGTGACGCCTGACGGCCAAGCGGCTTTGCCTCGTCTGTCGTTTCGCAAAGAGGCGAGGAACGGCTTCAAGGGCAGTGCGCACTCTTCTGCCGACCTGAACTCGATCAGTTCCGGAGCGGGAAGCACGCAGGCCGCTTGGGGCCGATTCGCGGGGTCGCAAAGGGTGTCGGGAGAGCCAGGCGCGGGAGTCTCGGTGACAAGGGCCCGCTTGGCGGCCGACAGCTCCCCGAAACGGACGTCAGCAAGCCCGGAAGCCCAATGCCCAGCAGGCAGCATGGCGGTCAGCAGCTGCAGAATGCAACCCTATAGTCCGCCGAAGCCGAAGCCGAGCACGCGCTGCCCCCGTTGCCACACGGCAGCGACCGCATCTGCGTTCGCCTTGCGCTGGTCCGCGCTACTATCCTTCGCCGCTGCCCGGTCCTTTGCCGCCAGCTTCTTTTTTTGCATGCATCTTCAGTGTTTGGCGCACTGGCGCGTCCAAGCATCTGCAGCCGGCGACTTGCTCTGGCCCCTGTGCCGGGACTTCCCCTGCGACGCATTCAGTCTGCAGGGTTGGGCGGCCGTCCCAGACGACACCGTCAGGACATGTCAGGACCTTCTCGGCGCTTGACGCGCCGGAACCCCGACCACTGCTGCAACCGCCTCGCCCCGTCGGGCGTAACGGGGAGCCCCGCGATTGGTCCCATGCCCGTGCTGGTGTTGTCCTTGCGAATGCCGCCAGGCGCAAACGCCGACAAACCTACCCGGAGCTCAGCACGGCACGCCGGTGCCGCCTCGTCGTTTTTGGCATCGAGGTTGGGGGCCGCTGGGCACCTGAAGCCGCCACCTTCGTTCGCTTGCTCGCGCGTGCACGCGCTGTGAGCGTGCCTGCCATCCTGCGGCCCGCTGCTCAAGCCGCATGGGTCTGCGGTGGAGCGGCATCCTAGCCGTCGCTGCCCAGCGTGCGCTTGCCGCCTCGCACGGGCATGGATGACGGGCAAGGTGTCGCACCACGAGGCCCAATGCGCGGCAAAACGATCGGAGGTGGCAGAGCGGAGGCCAAGACCCCCGAACCGCTGCGCGAGCTGGGCAGTGCGGAGGCTGTGATCCGGCAGGGGGGCGGCT